GTTAATAGCTTTACCTATATAACTTATAGAGATAGCTTTATAAGGTTAGCTATATAAAAGCTTATCTTAGCTATATACTTAAGATACTACTTATACTAAGCTATAAGCTTATTTCTTATCCTTAATCTTAAGTTAATACTACTAATATAAATTACTTAGATTCTTATAAGTAAACTATTTAGATTCTTATAACTTTATAATATATTCTATCCTATTTAATCTATAGGGCTTTATAATATAAAGCTTTACTTAAAGTATGCTTTAAGACGCTAGAATTAATACTAACTATAAAGCTAGCTTTATTATAATTAGTAAGATAACGCCTTTTAATATATAAAGCTTAATAAATAAGATAACTATAGCTATATCCTACTTTATAGTCCTAAAAGCTAATATTATAGCTATAGCTTATACTTATTTACTATAATAAATCTTACTAGAGGAGGTAGCTATATTTACTACTAATCTTAGCTATTACGCCTATTTTAATAATATCCTTAATAAAGCTATATAGCTAGTAAGTTAACTAGGCTTAATAATATTAAGGATATTACTAATAACTATAAAATAAGGATGTTAGCTTAATTAATAGAAAGCTTAGATAGTAACAGCATAATAGCCTCTAAAAACGTTATAATAGATATTAGCCTTAGAGGGCGTAATATAAGCTATAAAGAAGATAGCTAAGTTTAATAATAGAAGGTATATATAAGAGTTAGAAGAAAGGTTAAAAAGTTAAAGAAAATCTATAGTAATTAAACTAAATTAAAGTTATAAAGTTATTATTAAAGTAACGTTAAAAGTAATAAGATTATCTAATAGATAATGCATATTGCTACGTATATAGGGGGAAATAGGACTAAAGCTAGAAATAGCGATCTATAGGAAATTATATCACTAGTAGGCTATTAGCTAAAAAAGCAAGTTAGAGGTTATTATAGTATAGGTTCTAAGTAAAAATTATAGTAAGTAGCTAGAGGCCCTACTATATAAGAGATAACTTTTTAACTAAAGAGGTTATTAGAAGAGGTTCTTATAGCTAAAAGTATAAAAACTTTATTAATATAAAGCTTTATACTTATTCTTCTTCCTCTTCTTCTTTTTATAACTTATAATAAATCCTTTATAATATATATACTATAAGAGATATATAAAAACATTAATCCTTTATAAAATATACCTTTTTATAAATAAATAGCTAAAAGTATTACTATATAAAATAATATCTATATACTAAATAAAGTCTTTAAATTTAATAATTACTCTTTTATTAATTAGTAATATATTATTAAAGTAGCTATAATTAAAGTTTTTATAAATACTCTTAGAAAAAACTTTCTTTATACTATAATTAAAATAATAAATAATAACTTTATATATCTCTATATAGAAGCTATATATATTTCTAGCTATTTTAAAGAATAGCTTTTCTTTATATAAGCTTTCTATAATATTAAAGTAGAGGTAGCTAAAGCTTAAGCTTAATAAAACTTATTAGTAAGTACTCCTTATACTAACTATTATATAGAGAGAGCGAAATTAATAATAATATAGCTATTATAAAAGTATTAGCTAGCTTAATTAAATAAAAAGAATAATAGATAGTAAAGTAGTAATAAGGATAGTATTTAAAAGTAGTATAAGTAATATATAAGAGAGAGGATAAGTTAATAGTTTAGTAATTAGTAATTAAGTAATTAAATAATTATAAATTATATTATTACTAAAGTGAAGTTAAATATAGTGAAATTATTAATATATATATATAAGTATAGCTAAGGTTAGGATAGGTAGTTAGAGACTTAGGAAGTTATTAAGGATTATATACCTAAAAGCTATATATATTATTAAGGGGTATAAAGTTAGGAGGTCTATTACTCTAAGTAAGTAAAAATCATAGTGAATAACTAGAGGCTATATAAAGAACTTATATTAAGTACTTAATAGATATTAAAATAAATATTTATTTTATTTAAAAATAAATACTTATAGTAATAAAGAGAATAGTATTTATAAATAGTAAAACTATTTAAATAAGAAAACCTATATATAATATAACTTAAGCTTTATTTAAAGTTAGATTTCTATAGTTTTTTAGTAAATAACTTTATATTAATCTTTATAGATACTTTTAGCTTACTCTTACTATAAATACTTCTTAAATCTAATACTAATTATATTAGCTTCTAAAGACTTATTCTCTTATAGGTTATAACTTATAATATAGCTATAACTATAATTACTATTTATTTCTATTAATCTCTAGATTTTATTAATAAACCTTACTATTAAATAGCTAACTATAATATATATCTTCTTAAGCTTAAAAAATACTACCTATCCTCTTAAACCTCTTTTTTAACCTTAAGCGTTAATAAGACTTATAGAGTTATTAAATCAGCTTAATATAGAAACTAAACTAAGTATAATTAATAACAGCATTATTATTAGAGCTGCAACTTAGCTAACTGAGTAGCAGTAATATGAGGCTATTCCAGGAGGGCAGGAGGTCTTCTAAAGGTAGGTGTGAGGGCAGCACAGCAGGTAAGAGAACTATGCCCCAGAGTTTCACCAAGGGCTCAGCGTCCAAGGTCTGGTATATAGGATACTCGAACTCATATTTCCTATCTGCACGAAAGCAGACTTCACATCGAACAACCGAAGACCAGAGCTTCTTGCCATTAATACCTAAGATGACTGGAGAGTCTAATTGCCGCCGCAAGACGAGCTTGATTTCGAAAATGTACCTTCCTCATTAGTGGTGACGTTTGGACATCCCAAAAGCCATCCCTCGTCTGTGACAAAACCCCCCCGAACCTGCTACTTACGTCCACGGTCTTGCTTGAAAGGCTTCCAATACCATATGGATAATTATCATCTACAGCAACGATTCAAAATCGGGTACACTTTGTGAAACGCAAATCGGTCAAAAGTGCATTATCTGCCTCGGGTTAGAGAACAAGACACGCCTCACTTCGCTGTGCTATTCATCGCTGGTCTCACTAAGAAGAGCAGGCACCACTCGACACCACATACCACTGCACCTTCTCTCAGTGTATTTCAACCACGAAATGGAGAATACCAGAACCTCCGGTGTCGTGACTAACAGTCGGTCCACCCCAATATTCATTCATTTGTGCAGCACTAATGTGAATCAGGAGCCTCGGAGGCCGAACCTGCGATCTCCGCCCTTCATCGAGAGACGATGGTGGTTTTGACGGCAGTCACCAACTCTCAGCAGCGTAAACGAGATCTTCAACGCAGAGGTTAGCCGTCAAATTTGGATATCATAGCTCCAGGGCCTCAAATGACTGATTGCTCTTCCCTAACAGGTCCAGCCCTGATACCGGGGTCTGTGACCCGAAAGTGGTACGCTTTAGACACACAAATCACTGCCTACATGCGCGATGATGCGCACGAGCCTCGGTTGAATGATGAGATTACGGAGTGCCAGAGACGGATTTCGAATCACATGTCGCTCAGTCGATATCCTGAGGCGAACAACGTGGACATTGGCCAGTTGTATCTGCTGCTTGCGGCGAAGCTGGCTCTCGCTGAGCTGAGAAGAGCTGCTGCTATTTGAGATTCAGCTTAGAATTGGCATCGAAAGCCCCCTGATACGAAGGCTATATTACTATTCACGTTCAAACAAGCATGCTAACAAATAGCTCGGTTTTTACATACCTCATGGAGTAGCGAATGCAATGGCCCACATGGTCATGCCTGCTTCGAAACAGCAGCTCTTTGATCAGAGACCAGTCAGATTGGCGAGGGCTGCTATTGGGAAAGACAAGGGAACGTAATTGGGGGCTTTGGACGGACTGACAAGCGCTTCGCATGGTTAAAGGGAGAGGTCCCCTGGCTTCAAAGTTCGCACTGGAAACTCTGTCATGCCCGAGGGCAAGAGCTTCATCAAGGCAGAGAAGCAATACATTTCTGTTTCATGTCATAAGTTTCATAGATTATTTGACATGCATGCAATCAGTATTAGTTATTGTTCAATGTTTCCCGTGGATATTAGAACATAACATGTGAGTTCTAAAGTGATGTCGTTTGTGCTGTCCGCTTGATGTTAGCTGCAGAGCTCTTGCAAAGAAGAAAGTGTCGGCAGGATCATATTCGTGACTATTCTTGGGCGTTTGTCATGGAAAAGCAGGCATTGAACAAGGAATGAGCTGTGTATTGGAGACGGCGATAAACTGGTCTCCAGAGCAGGCCGTGTCATTCGCGCGGGCATAGCGGGAGAGCCGATCCCTTAGCGTGTTTAGATCCCACACTAGAGGAGATAAAGGCCTTTTCTCATTCTAGTTCCTGTGCCAGATGTGTTATATCTCTACATACAGGGAGCTGAACCTGGGCAGGCAAACGCATTGAACCTTTCGACAGCCGGCAGGAAACCCAAAAGTTCCAGCACCGCCTCCGAGATCGACTGATGACATGCATCTGAAGTGACTATTTTGATGATTCCAATCAGATAGTCGCGCTTCGGCCAAGATTTTCCCTCGTCGGCCAGGGTCCGCAGACTAACCGCGTCTCAGCTAAACCATGCCGACTGATGCGTGCCGTCTCGAGCTGGCACATTATGAACCCCAACCCCTTTCTGAGCTACAGAAGGTGAGGCGGTCAAATGAACTTTAGGTCGTCCGCACGCGCAACGCGCTCAGTTCTCAGCCTGTCGAGCATTTCATGATCATCACCTCCTGCATTGTCCCACAGTGACAAGCTGCGTGACATCTACGCCCGGTACTTTGAAACATGTCTTGAAGCAGTATTCGCTTTACGTATACGATTGCTTGTGTAATCTGTCTGGAGAGTTCCAAAGCAGAGATCAAGGACCGTTTCCTCGGGTGGACTGCCGTCTCGAACTTCAAGAGGCTGTGTCTTCAAACAACTGCATGGCGACATCGCCGGATGCCAACCTCTCAGTCAAGTTTCCTGTGCATGTTGAGAACCTCCGAATGATCATCTCGTCGCGCTAGATGCCAAATACTTGAGCGAAAATGGCTTTGAGTTCGAAACCGTTGATGCTGCTGGGAGAATCCCCAAGCTTTGATGACAACCAGCTGAGCGACTTTTGGAGCGTTCGGGAGAGGACTCTCTGCGACTTTTATGAAGATATTGAAAACGGATCGGGCAATGCGAGCACATACACCAAGACGATTTGCACCCAGGATCGTCAAAGAGACGTCCAGAACGGGAGGTATCCAAGTCACTACGGCAGCAGAGTTCATGCATCTCAGATCAAGCATTTCAGTGATGTAAGTGTCTGCGCTATCAGTACTCACGCAACTTGATCGGTGGCTTTTGGGAAAAGCCGAAATGGGGTGGCAAGGATCTTTTCTGACAACGTGCAGAAGAGTCTCCCGAACTTAGCCTTGCGGAGCAAAGTGAATACTTGACGGAAGATGGCTTCGTCTACAGAGTTTCAACTCCTTATCTCATAACAATGATCCGCATGATTGGTATGAATGAGTCTAATAAGCTTCATTACAGAGGTCGTTCTCATACGCACACCCCACACCATAGCGCAGTTGGCATCTGAAGGCAAGCTCATGAAAAAAGCGACTAAAAATATCTCATGCGCGCCAGCATTGAAGGCTTAGTGAGCATTTGCAAAAATACTGCAAGTTATAAGCAAAAATCTACATACAACACCGGGCATTCGCCGGTCGTCACCGACCCGACTACTACTCCAGCCCTTATTGACTTATCTATGGGAGAGCGGACGGGATCCCGAGTTTTCCAATAGGTATGGTCGTATGTGACAGGATTCGGGGGCAATGCAATCTATAACGACATTGCGTCTCCAACGGGCAGCCGTCCATGTACAGGTCTGCTCGCCCCGCCAAGTCCACCAGCATGCACGCACATTCAGCTGTTATTTCGGAGTGGGGCAACTCACCTCAGACACTGCCCGCAGTGTGAAATGGGTCGGGAGCTAGCGACCGAAAGAGTGGATTCGGTCGCACTGGTGGACGGACGGCCTCTGACGAAGCCTGAATCCACCCTCTGCGCAAGTGGTCGTCGGCGAGTCATGTTCACTGCCCGATCGGGACTCAGAATCGGCTGTGATTCGCCGATCGACCAGCGCGACCGTAAGCCACACTCGTTGGTTTCTGCGATGCTCGGCGTCCACAGCATCGTCCCTTGAAGTTTCGTCAAGCGCGCCTTCCCACAGTGGCTCTCAAGCTGCATTTGCCGACGTTCCAGTCGCTATAGCAGGCACTGGGAATCCATGAGACGACGGCTTGCTTTGGCGCAGTCTGGCTAGCGATGAGCGGAGGCTTGCTTGCGCGAGAGAAGGGATCCGTAAATAAACGCCATGCCTGTGGGCTGGCGCGGCGCAGCTAACAGTTCGTGGACGGTGAGGTTGTGCAAATGCAGTGCTGGGGAGAATCCGCTACATGCGCAGTGTCAATTCGAGAGGGTAGACGACAAGTGGCGTGGAACGCTGCGTACGGTGAAGGCAGCATTTGCGACAAAGTCGTGAAGCGGCCACGTCTCATTTCTGCATTTCTGGTGCATCCTGCGATGCGTCCAGTGCGCGCAGTCATGTGTGGTCGCAGACTCATCCATTCCACCGTGATGTGTTGAGCTGAAGGGTCCAGTGTGGTCAGTGGGTACCTCCCGATTTTTGGTACTAAAATCGGGAGGTACCCCACTGTGAATACAGCGATGGTGCAGTGAGTATCTCCTCACTGAAATTGGGAGGAAGCCATTTCTTAGGCCAGAGAGGATTGCAACCGAGCTGCACCTCAAAATGGAATATCCTCGGCGGCGCTCGAGACAGTCCGACTGGAAGATGCACGCGAACTCAAACCACTTTTTGTTGCAGACAGGAAAGAAACCCACTCCTGTTTCGCTAATGGGTGCCCAAGAAACGCTGCAACGACTTCACGCAACGCAACGTGTAGCCCTCAAGAATCCACAGATGCAAAGGGATGCGTCATTACGACTGAGCTCAACAGGAAGAAAATGATGCCTGGCTTGGGCAGGAGCGAGCCGCTAATTGGGTGGAGAAGCTGCGCAACGCGTCTATGAGCACACCTCTTCCCCAGAGCCAGAAGGCCGACACAGACATACAACAAACGACAAGTATGCTAGATGAGATGCTGCAAGACGACAAGACGAAAACGGGAATCAACCGAGATGGTCGTTTTCGATCCGTTGCTCAACCGCTCGAGCCCGCTCGTGCCCGCCGGAGATAGTGGGGAAGGTCGTGATACGTCGTCCATACCTGCCTGCCTCTATTGCTCTTTCCAACTCTAAGCCAAGTGAAAAATTTGCGTACCTGCCTCCCTGCTTGACGTCCACCACCCCTCGTTCTTTCCGACAACAAAATCTTTGGCGAGTCCGAGCAGTCACTTCTGCCAAATTCGGTTCGCCTCTGCGATTCTTCTCTTGTCCACATTCCAACCACCGACTCCAGCAACACGCTCCCTTGCCCCCGTGGCCAATCCGAAACAGGCACTCAACACGACAACTCACACCGGAAAGGCCCTCGCGCTCGTTACTTCTCGAGCATGTCGGTTGACGAAAACACCCGCAACGTGGTCTTGGAGCCTCCCCGTGACGCAGTTGCTGCCGCGCTGGATCAGGCAGAGCAGTACGGCCTCGCCACAACTTGGCCGCCCTCCGCCGCTGACGGCGCCTTGCAGCACTTTCTCAACGACCACATCTCTAGTCTCGCCCAGAATCTACCTGATACAGGTGCCGACATAGAATCCACGCGCCGATGGCTCAATGCCGCCCTCGATTTTCGCCAAACTGCGCTCAAGCACCCCGTTGCCTGGACTGGCGCTGAACTGCATTCACTTTCGGGACTCGAGCTTTGCGAGTATCTGGTCGAATGTGGTCTCGGCAAATGCCAGGCTAGAGAAGTTGCCAGAGATGTTGTGTCCGCCCGCGAGGTCCGTGTCCCTGACTCTCACGTTTTTCATGTTGCTAAAGCTTTTTCCTGGGCAGACAAGAGCAACGTGGATCACCAAGATTACCGAAATGAAACAGACGATGATCGAGCAGGCCCACGACACCTGTACCGAAGACTTCAAGGTCTGCGACACGATTCGCATGTCATCCATCCTTGCCTGCTTGTTCATGATAGTGGTTGCAACCTCGGTTGGACTCATTCATTGAAGGTCGCGCGCTTTTGGTGGGCGTTGTGGTGGAAGCATTCGCATGCTTCCGCATCCACTCACCACCTGATATGATGTGGAGGGAGCTTTTGTTCATTGTTCATAGGACAGACAACAGATGTTGTCTATACCGACGGGTTCAACGAGGTGACATCATCGTGAGCATGGTTCGGAATGGCCTCGAGATACGCAACTGGAATAGATCAGACGGTCATTTGCCACAGCCTCTCGGACCGATAGACAGATAGGTACTCTTTTCTATCTCCAAATTGGAATTCCAAGTCATGAGAGCAAATGCCACTCAAGTCCCCAACATCATCTCCTCAAACCGAACCACTCATTTGAATTCTCTCCACGTCCGTCCATCTCTGTCCAATTTGTAGATTCCAAATCAAACTTCTCACCCGCTACACATCTCTTTTTTTCACCCTTAGCTGCACATTCATCTCGCTAGATCATGGTTCAATCCTGATCTCATATCCATCCGCTAGACTGCGAACGCATACAAAAGTCCTAGATTGCTCATCTTTCACGTCACTGATTGCCACAGATGCATCCGACGGTGATGAATTTACGATCAAGTCTCATCCTGGATCTCGAAACTTGTGGCTCGACTCGCCTGACGCTTCACGAGGCATGATGCACCAGCCGACACACATCCCTTTGAATTGATTGTTGCATGTTCCCCATACTAGCGAATATGCTTTTGGCGCTATTTATTGATGCCAACTCGTAGTATCGGCTGTCAAATGTCTGAAGCAAACCTAAGCCATTTCCGGCACCAATCCCCAAGTATCTCATCCTCTTCTTCTGATGTTTCTGCAAGCAAAGACAGACAGAGACACTCAAACATATCTCCCAATGGTCAACCAGCTGATTTGGCGAGCGTGCATCAAAATTCACAGCACGGTGGTCTCGCAAACGCGACTCAATATTACCTCACGCCAAGAACTCAGACTTGGGTGGTGAGCGTCGTGATATGTCATTTTGCGATCATCCGCTATGATATTTCTGCTGTTGCGAGATATAGAGTCGACAGGCAGCTGCCATGAGAAAGTCCGCGCCGCCCAAAACTATAGCCATTCGTCCGAGCGCGAACCATTACCTGATCCAACTAGATGACGGAATGTTCAACAATAGAGACTATGCTTATTGTCACGCAAGCCGGGTTCGCCATGTCTCTAATGGGCAAGTCGAATTCTATTATATAGTTTCGCTCGGGAAAGGTCTACGAAAGATTTGTTGAGAATCCCAGGAGCTTCTCCGAAATTTGCACACGCACGGTGTGGCAACCGCATGGTCAAACTCACCTTACAATATCTCTCTCATTTGAAGCTTGATATATTAGTCGCGAAGGAACTCCAACACACACAGGCGAAGAACGCCATGCAGATGCCCGTGACCAGCGCCAGACAAGCGACTCGAGTAATTGGAGACAAGGAGTTTAAGATGCTGCTTGGAAATCTATGAATACCCGTGCTGCCATCCACATAGTTGCGTCCTGTATATCGAAATATCAAGCATCAGCATTGGCAGACACTAGGAGTACAGCTAGAGTCTGTCTTACGCCTAAGACGGCCAAGTCTTCACCGTATCTTTGCCCTCATTGATATACCTACTCTATTTATGCTGACAACTAATCTATGAAACGGAAAATTCAATACACACCTGCATATGCCCCTATACCGATTACATGCTGGTTCGAGACGCGCCCGTTCCTAAAACTGCCCGACGTCGATCTCCTTGTGCATGTTTAGGTCCACTCTGTCCTCTCGCCGACCACACCATCGGATATGCTGCGCGAGCCCAGTTCTCACATCACATAAATTACTTGAAGTAATATGTCTTAATGTTTGGCAAAAGTCAGCTGAAGAATCTCTCTCGTTGCGCAAATGTGTTTCCATAGCCTAAACAAGTCAATGTCGACGACCGACTGAGAACAGGAGCTGAATAGACGGACGCACGTGTCAAGAAGGGCACGCCAGCATGAAAGTCTTGAAATACAGGGCCTCACCTGTATGGGCGGACCAGGAAATCCTGAGATCGATGGGAAAAAAATCTTGTCTGGGCGTCTGATGAGGAGAGCAACGATGTATTTCGGACAAGGAAGCAGAATTTGCATTGTAAGGCGGAGCGGACTCTAGACCGGAACATGATGAAAATCGAGCGCAGGGCTCAAGCTGTCAGTCAGCAAGAACCTGTCGTAGGTGGTAGTGATCAAGCTTAAGACCTTTTCGACATACGAAATAGCATGAGTACGTCATTTATCGCCCCATTACCTTATAACTTTGTCGAAACCGTCATCTTTGTGCCTTGCCTGTTGCGCCTGCAGTTCGGTATCTTCCTCGTGTTGACTGTTCATCGAACTCGTATCCTAAGCACAAACTGTGCCGATCTCGGGCTAGGTTAGGGCTGCTGAATGACACCTCCGTCTTCCAAAGCTTCCGAGTCCAGCAAAAGCGTAATACACCCTGCGCTTAAGTATTTCTTGCAGATATTGCGTTGTTCAAACGTCCTCGCAGAAGGTGGTCTTCCTGGACAGCTGTCGCCTTCTTGTCAATGGCCCCTGAAATTGCTCGTTCCTCCACCTCAAAAATTTGATCTATGCCGCCTCAACTTTCGTAGTTCTAGTTGTATCATTCTCAAATAAATTGAGTGATACATCGAGCGATGGAAGCGCCGAATGCGTGTGGGTGAGGATGTGAGTGAGGATGTGATTGAGGATGTGAGTGAGGATGTGAGTGAGGATGTGAGTGAGGATGTGAGTGAGGATGTGAGTGAGGATGTGAGTGAGGATGTGAGTGACGAAGGGAAGTTCCGAGTGAGGCGCACTAGTACGTGATCAGCCGCTTCGTCTCTGAGACTGTGGTGGCCTGTTGTCTTATCTACTTCTCTCCGGTTCCAGTAGGCCTTTGGAATAGGTATCATGGTCTAACTTGTAACTCCCCGAAAATAATGGTTCTGTAACCATCACGCATTAAAATGAAAAACACAGGCCCTGCAGTAGATGATGGACTTGTACAGGATATCGACGTTCTCGAGATTGTGATGGATTCCACTGTCTAGTGTTCCGAAAGGCTTTGGTGCATGAAGTCTGTTACTTTACTCTTCACAACCGAAATCTGGTTGGCATGGTCTCCTATGAAACACCCAGGCATGCGTGGAACCGGCAGGCCGACAAGACAATGATATAGTCAGCTGAAAGGTGGTAGCAGACGTTGCAGTATGAGTGTGAGCAACAGATTGGTCAAAGCTCTCTTCTATTGCGTCGAACGAGATATCGACCTAGCAAGCCCCGCAGATGTTCCTGGCAAGTCGTCCAAGCAGCAGTCATGTTCCCAAAGGTGGAATCGTGGACTGTCTTTTCTTGGAGTGATTGTAACTTCACAGTCGAGTAGTTGGTTCGCTCGACGTCAAAGCGGCTCCAGAAGCCCCCCATTCGCGGGAGAGTATGCGTGCCAATAATTGCCACCCGATGTGCGGGGTGTCACAACTGTCGCCCACAACTTCATTTACCTCTGGGGTTGTCTGGGTGCACGATACGCACAGTGACGAGCACACGAGTCGCCAAGCCTGTGATAAGCGAGCGCAGGAGACTGGAAGCAAGCGCAGTGGCAAGTCGTAGCGAGGTTGATATACATGAAGGTTGGGCGGCCGATGGTGTGCGGGAGTTCATGATGTGCGAGACTTCGGACGATGTGGAAGGCTGAAAGATGAAATGTGCTCAAGCCAATGATGTTGCATGTATCGCCAGATTTTTTAGGAAGAGCCAAGAGATATCTACCGCGGCAGCTCCGGTGCAACTTTCCAGGGGACACTTGCATAACAGTTGACGAGTGAGATGGAAGCTCCGCCTAATGAATCGAAAGAGCCAACGACGAAACCGATTGCGATGATTGAGGTGCTTGGAGCCGTGTGCATTATGGACCATTTTTGTTGTTGCTGTGTCCGGTGGACAAACGTCAGCACAGAGAAGACGGCGGTGACAGTGACGTGAAAGCTACATTTTGCGACTTGCAGGCGGGGACGCGAAGGCACAATTTTGGGGCTGTGGTAATCTGCAGGACGGGGCAAAGAATGCCGCGAGAAGACTCGCAGGGAGGCTGGGTGGGCATAGCGGTTCAGACGGGCGAAGAAGTCAACACGTCCTGGAGTTTGCTACGATTATCGTGATGAATGCTCAAGGCAGCTTCCAGGGATGATGAGTGGATAGCAAAAGTCGTATCAAGGACTTGTCAAGGCGCGTTCTGTTCCGCTCGGTGATTGAGAAGACGGCGCCTCAACCGGCGGCTCGTGAAGTGCCGCGTCAATCCGCAAGTCATTGATGCCTGGAGTGCAAGTCGCTTGCCCAATGGTGTCAAAACAGTTCTTTCCATCTTCAGCGTCATGTACAGTATCGGCAGGGCTCAAACATGGCGTGCTGCGGTCTTCATCAAGCCGCGAGAAAGGTAGCATCTCAAGGCAAAGTAACTCGGATGAGGAGGAAGAAATATGGCAGAAAATGCAGTCTTGTCCAGCTACGGACCCTCCAAGGCGTGAAGTTGCCCAAAAAGGATGGCAATGGGGGTGGCTTCAGTGAGGTGCGATTGCCGACGTTGTCGGTCAAGGAATGGTCCGTACACTGTGTGGTGGTGAGCTGCGGGGCCGAGGACCGCTTCCGACGCGCTGGAAAATGAACGTGCTTTGGTAGACGTGAGTTTGGTGGTCGTGGCGTGTCTTGTCTCCCTCATCATGTTGTTGCGGCCGAAAATTTCCATCCGGGTTAGATCACGTCACTGCCATTTGATTGAGTCGCTGCTATGCGGGGGGTAGAGTGGAGTCGCTGCCATCAGGGGAGTCGCTGCCATCAGGGGAGTCGCTGCCATCAGGGGAGTCGCTGCCATCAGGGGAGTCGCTGCCATCAGGGGAGTCGCTGCCAGAAGTAGAGTCACTGCCAGCGGCACTCATACACCTGTACCACACAGTTACTTCCGGTATCCTCCAGAGCTATCGATACAAAGC